ATGTCGACCACGGGAGGTTTAGAGACTCTTGGATGCAAGATGGGAGACTGCTAAAGCCTCTATGATAAAGGAGTGAGGGGAGGGGGACACTAATGGTATTGAGTGTTTTTACAAAAAATTCTAGAGCTCTTTGTTTCCCAATTCAATGTAAGTCAATTTTGAAATGTTGTGTAAATAAGCAAGCAAACAGATCTGACAAATATGGGATGTTTGTGGTTGCTGTGGCTGACAGAACGTCCCCACGACATAGTTTCTAACACTTGCTTCTGTCACTCTTTTAACACACAGCCCCCTGGTATTGCCTCAGAGAAATTTTGCAGAGCAGGACATGCATGGATTTCTAAAGACATTTCCAAGTAAGCAGGCATGGAGTAGGCTTGAGTTGGGCAATGAACAGCTGGAAATGGTCTATGGATGGCAGTGAAAAGAACATGCTGATGCACATGAATGAGGATGACAAATAAAAATGGCAAGTAATAGGATATATTGGAGTACATGAGGAAGCCATTTTGTGTAAACCTAATTCAGCCTGACCTTGTCTTTCCAAAAGGGCCTGAACGAGGCCGTTGAGCATGCATTGTATATCTGCTTTAGAGATTCCCTATGGCAAGAACAAAGGCCCTTGAGATAAAGGTGCAACTTCTCTCCCCCTCCCAACGTTGGCATCTCCTTAAAGATTAAGCATCTTTCTTTAGGCTGGAAACCGATTGCAGCGCTCATCTGTGACCGCCCAGCTCGAGGCAACAGACCTGCCACCCTGCGGCGTTCACTGAGACAGCAGACCTATCTGCTGTTTCCATCAATTGCTGTGCTGACAGAGCAGCCTCGTGACTATTGTAAAAGGGACATTTCAATCATATGTGAAACATACTCTTTGAGGGTATATAACCACTCTGTGTAACCCCACTTCTTTGGAGTGCTCTGTTCCTTTGTGGAAAGACTCTCCCGGGTCATAATCCTAAGATTTAAGCTCAGAATAAACTCACCCAAATTTTCATTTATAGATTGGTTATGGATTATTTTCATCAACAAGGATATCCCCGGGCAGATCCTGCTTGGGATACACTTTCAAGTTTTAGAGCCACAGTACTTCCAAGGAACCTGATTTAAACTCAAAGACATATTCTGGGAGCTTCTCACTAAGGTCATAGTATGTGTTTGAGATGAGGGCAGGTGCAGCTCTAGAGCATGATTTTTAAATTAAGACAGAGTTGTAAGAAAGGACTGTAGAGGACTGAGTCCTTCTTCCCCAGTCCTCTAATTCTTCCTATGAAGGATCCCCCAGTGGTGGAAAGAAGAGTTGAACACATAAAAATCAATGTTCAGGAGAATTTAACATTCTCCTAGCATCTGAAAGCAAGCAATTATGTTATGTGGTTTCTAATTATTACACACATGGACATATATAACATATATAAATATATAGAAAATATTTTTAATGTACTCATGAGTTTTCATGAATGTGTAGTAATATTGCCATGAAGACATGGAAAATATATCATCCCAAAAGAACACTCTTTGGTGCCCATGCAAACAAAACCCCTCCAGTACGTAAGTTAACACCAAGAAAAGTGGAAAAGATTGAACTCCTTTGCTCCTTTAAACTCCAAGGTTGTTAATGTTCTTTCCCACTCTTCCACATGTGCTGGACATCTAAGCATACGGAAGAGAAATGTGAACAGCAATATGGACTATGGGGTTTTGTCCATCACTGAAACAAAAGACATCCAGCCACTCTTATGATGAAAAGATGTTGAAAATTTCCCATTTTGCTTTTTATACTCAATTAGGGTATTACTCCAAATGATACCCTCTCTCTCTGCAGCTCACCTCAATTGTTCCTTAGATGATTGTCTTTGAACTTTTATAGCTGTTTTTGGGGTTTCCACTGGGAGATCACAGTGGACTAGATATTAGTGGATAGATATTACTGTACTCACAGAATACACTCAGGATGAGCTGGAACAGCGCAGATGAATGTACCTGATTTTCTGAATAGAAGAAACCCGGTTCAATGGAATAAGGTGCATATTCTGTAAAGCAGCAAAAGGAAAATGCCAGACTATAACAATTAAAATTTTTAAAGGTAAATGAAAATCCTCTCCTATCATATTAAACACAAAAAGACCCCACAAATATCTGTGGCCTAAATCAATAGTAAGTCTCAAGTCCCAGCTAACAATAATAATGACATCCTTACTCACCCCCACCCTCATCGAAAAGATATGTATACAGACCTCAGCCTCCCTATTAGCTCATATTGTATTTTACTTTTCTTCTAAGACCTTATTTCCATCTTACAAACCAAAGCTTTAACATTTGTTAATCACCTCTTTTCCTGCAAACATATAAGCACCATGATTGTAAGAACTGGTTTGTTTCATGCCACTATATCCACATCCTACTGTGCCTTCCTTGTGCTAAATTGGGTACACTGACTCTATAGCACATGGCAGGTGAGGGATGTTGAAATATTAGCATCAAGAGCACAGTCTCTGAGAAAGAAAGGCTTGACTGGCACAGTGGTCCTGTCTCTCTCCCTTGCTAGGCTTGCATTGTCTCACAATTTGCCTAAACTCACAGGCCTCAGTTGAGTCATAAAGAAGATATTAAAAATATTACATACTAAGAAGTGAATTTATATTTTTAACACAGGTACTTTAGAGTAAAGAGTGTCTAAAACACCTTAGGAAATATATCAGTGATTTGATAAGTAGGAAAGGAAAAAGCTGCTCTAGAGGACTGGGAGCTGGCTGCCTTCACTGCAAGGCTGTCTTATCCTGTTGATGAGAAAAATGTCATGCACCTCATTCCTCTAAGGCAAATGGTAACCATAATGGACCAAGACATTTATCAGGGACCTTTGTAACTCTATCTCTAAAAATGGAAAAAGATAAAATTCCAAGTCAAAAAATGACCAATATTCCCCTCTTCTTACTAAAATGACTGACTGTAGCTTCTTAGAAATTAAGCTTAACTCCATTAAATTGTTACTGCCTTCTGGAAAAAAAAATGATTATGATTACCAGTGACAGAATAAAGTTTACCTCCACACAGCATTCAATACAGAAAAATGTCCTGCTTCCTTGAATAGCAATCAAATCATCTAACACAAGTTAATATCCTAAAAGAATTACTTCTGAACCCCCTGTTACTGATATACCTCAGTCCTCTAAGGTTTGTGGTCATTCTTATTAGAATGCATTACACCTCTCTCATTGGCTACAGGGGTGATCCTGTGGGCCACTGCCAAAGGACTGAGAAAACCATGATTTAAGTTTTTGATATTGAGAATGAATGAGAATTGTTTCATGAGAAAAATTATAACTGTAAAAGGATAAAAAATAAAATTTGGGGGCTGGCCCCGTGGCCGAGTGGTTAAGTCTGTGCGCTCCGCTGCAGGCGGCCCAGTGTTTCGTTGGTTTGAATCCTGGGCACGGACATGGCACTGCTCATCAAACCACACTGAGGCAGCGTCCCACATGCTACAACTAGAAGGACCCACAACGAAGAATATACAACTATGTACTGGGGGGCTTTGGGGAGAAAAAGGATAAAATAAAATCTTAAAAATAAATAAATAAATAAATGAAAAATAAAATTTGCCTGAGGAAAAAAATAACTGAATTTTATGCATATGATGAGCCTGACTCATAATGTAAAATGATTAAATAAAGAAAACTGCAAATTTTATCTGAAAATCCATAATTATAATGGAATATTTTAATATATCCTCTGAGAAAATAAAAAACAATAATATTTGTTAGCATATGAGGGCTTATAAGACACTTGATAAACTATTTCTATGAAACAACTACAGAAATTTCACAAAAAAATGCATGTACTTTTAAACACATACAATCAAACATAATTAAAAATATTTTGAGGAATCATGTTCATCTATAAGTAACAGTTAGTCTTCCTGACAGGGGGAAGGTAATTCTCACACGGAAGAACCAGGTCAAGGCAGCCGCTGCAGAATGCAGTAGAGAAACAAACTCCCATGTCCTTCTTTTTGAATACACCACTGTGGATGTCACGATGAATGAGCAAAACATATTGGCTAACAGCAGTAACAGCAGAAGTTGTTTCCTATATACCCTAGACCTTACATGGATATAATCTAGAAAAGATGGGAACCAGAGAATACTCCCAGTCACGCAAGTTTGAATTAGTTTCCTGGTGGATGCAAGAGGGCTTACAGAAAAACCCAAACTCTGATGGATTGTTGAGGTGGAACTTGTGAAGACATCAGCGGAAACCGACATCTCAAATAAACTGGAAATCAAACAGTTGGTGGTGGTTTTGAGGATACTCTTGACTGGAAGGGCAAAGAATCCAGGAAATTGGCTGGAAGATGGTGTCCTGGAAGCTCCTATGTATCTGCCTCTCTCCCTGGATGGTGGCTCCAAAATGTCACTAATGTCTTCTTCTCGTCTGCCTTCCAAATCTCATGCAAGTGAGGCTACTGGTGAATTCTAACTGGGAAGTATAAAACGGATGGATTCTGGAAGATGTGCTTCCTAACATTACTCACAGGAAGGATATCTCCAACTCTAGCTTTTTTTTCCTGTCACAGGTCTCTCTTATTAATCAGTCTGTTCACCAAAACCAGTCAGAAGGACAATGAGCAAAGGCCTAAATGTGAATAATTCACATGAAACTATATTCTTTGATAATCTTGTCATAAATAAAAATTTATTCCAACTGTTTAAAAGCATGAAAAATGATAAAAGTTTTCTATATCCTCCACTGCAAAAAAAGGAGCTTTTTCAATAAAAAAAAGAAGCACAATATATATAATTGAGTAGGGATATCCTGGAACTGCCACACAAGGCCATGAGGAAAATCCCAACAAATAAAACTGTCATTTTTCAATGGCCCCTTAACAAAGAAAAAATAAAACACTACAAAAAATAAACCTAATTGCATATGAGAAATACATGTCAATTCATGCTTGGATCCAAGAGGCTTCAAGAAGAAAAAATATTATTAACAGATTTAAGGAAAAATCACCATCTATTAATCTTATGTACTACTTGTAGAATTATCTCACTTCAATATTCATTTCTAGAAGTAATTAGTAGAAATCCACAGTCCAGTCGTGTACCTTAAGAAAGAGGCTTAAACACTATATATTTACAACTTTGATAACAACTCTTTCACAATGAAAAGTTTTCTGGAACATTATGCATGCATTAATTCCCATCAAGCTATCTCAAGCTGTCTCATGTTATTTACATTTATTTCTTTTTGGTGGGAGTTGTCACATTTTAGGAAGTGGGCCAATTGAAGACCTTCCCATGCTGAAGTGTTCTCTAGTGTGTCCTTTCATGCCTTTGGAAAGTACCGGGATCACAGAAGGCCTTCCCGCATTCCGCACATTTATATGGTTTCTCTCCAGTGTGCGTTCTCAAGTGTCTTTGAAAGTTTGTGTGACAAATGAAGGCTTTCCTGCGTTGCTTACATTCATAGGGTTTCTCTCCTGTGTGAGTCCTTTCGTGCATCTGTAAGGAGGTATAATATCTGCAGGCTCTCCCATATTCCTTACATTCATAGAGTTTCTTCCCAGTATGAGTTTTTTCACGTCTTTGAAGAGAACTGGGACAACTGAACGCTTTACTGCATTTTGCACATTCATACGGTTTCTCTCCAGTGTGTGTTCTTTCATGTACTTGAAGTGAACTAGAACAACAGAAGGGTTTCTCACATTCTTTACATTTATAAGGAGCATCTCCAGTGTGCATTCTCATATGTCTTCGTAGGGTTTTGAGCCACATAAAGGCTTTCCCACATTCCTGACACTTATAGGTTTTCTCTCCATTGTGATTTCTTCCATGTTTTTCTAAAATGTAGAGATAAACAGAGGCTTTCCCACATATCTTACATTTCTATGGTTTCTCTCCATATTTTTTTACTCAGATGGTTTGTGTTCATTGTGACACCTTATTGCCTATTAAGGGATGAATGATGCGTGAAGACTTTTCCACACGCACTGCATTCATGTGGTTTCACTCTAGGAGTTTTCTTGTTCAAAACGAGATTTAGAGTAAGGCTGAAGTTTTCTCCACAATCACTACCCTCTTCACTTTCACAGAGTCTCTACCTTATGGCTTCTGTGAAAAACAAAAATCACATTATTAATGATTTTATATTTATTATGATTTATATAAATAGTGTAGGTTTTTCTGCCTCTCTGAGTTGTTTGAAATTCAATATACTGAATGCACTGCAGGAGGACTTCACCTTGCTATTATTTAAACAGTGAAATTCATATAGTCGTATAGGGTTATTAATACTGTTTCCAAGCAAACTCTTTTGCAAACGCTAAACAACTATGTCACAATTCAGAAAGGATTTTTAGTGAAAAATTTCTAGGAATAAATAAACTTCAAGTAGGGATTATTTGTTTTGTTTGCTTCTTTAAAAAACTTTATAACATACTAAGATTCTCACCTGAGACACTGCTTTCCATAGCGAGTGTGACCCACCTTAGTTTTCTCCCCTGGTTTCTGTACAGATCTTTGGTGTCATGATCTTTCCTAAAATGCAGATCAAGAAAAATGATTCCAAAGTATTAGAAATTATAAAAAAATTGATTCTAGGTCCATGATGAGCTGTGACCATGCCTAGTTTATTTACCAACATCCCCCTTTCCACATTCCAAATATTGGAGCAACATCGATGGGCAAGAAACACTTGTTCTCTCATTGACTAAATGAAGGAATGTCCTCATCCTTACCAATTGAGGCCAGATTCCTGAAGATTTCCTGCATCACGTCTCTGTAGAGTTTCTTCTGTGAAGGATCCAGTAAAGCCCACTCCTCCAGGGTGAAGGTCACAGACACAAACTCAATGACCACCGAGTCCTAAAACATCCCGAATATGTGTACAGTAAGGTGCATGAGACTGACAGCACGAGACATCCATATGCCCATTGTAGGAAGTTTATGTACGATTCCAAACATTTGTTTATGTATTTATGTATAATCTCCAAACATTTATTCTATGACTTGATCATCAGAAATTTACTCTGTACAAACTTCCTCATCAATTTAACAGCATCATAAACACATAGAAATTACATACACACTTTTACTGTGATCACGTTACATCTTATTTCTCTCTAACGGCAGGGTACGGAGCATGTTGGGAAATGACAGAAATGCTATACAAATGACACAAATATCATTTTAAGACTGATGATTCCTTATGAGAAAAATTCCTTCATCTTATTACCCACCAGTTAGAGCACTCCAGGAAGCAGAGGGTGAAATCTGCATGAGCTTTCAAAGAGTAAAATCATAGCGAAGAACTGGAAGCTATTTTGTCTCATCCCATCACCAAGCATGAGAGTCAGGAGGCCTGTAAAAATCAAACTTTTAACAAAGCCAGCTGGTCACATTGTCCTAAAGTACTCCAGGCCATTATGAGTAATGAGATGCAGCTGGTTGAATGTAAATATTCTTGTGGGGGAAGCACTGCTTTTAATGTGTGTAATATTTATCAGACTCACTTCTCCCTTTCTCCATCCAATTTGATGGAGCTCAGAAGTTACTTGGAACTTAGAGTTCAGACATGAGGAAGAAGGCATGACAACTTACACCACAAAATCCCTCACTCCTGTGCCTCAGGGCTGCTTCCAGCCAATTTTAGAACAGATAGTGAGATAATAGTGTGCCAGAAGAGCCCTTTTTGGTCAATCCCAAAGAGAGTATCCTGGGCCTTGTTGCCCTTGAGGGACAGGTTAAGAGCTTCAGGTTGCAAGGGAGTTCATTGAAGTTCAAAATAGTGTGAAGTTGAATTTGCCCATGACTGTAAAACATATAAAGGATTCCACAGTGCTTCCCTCTAGTAGGACATAGAGTCTCCCTTCTCCAATTTTAAGACAAAGTGTTTCCCAAACAGCCACTCTAGATGATGCCCTGACAACTTCTGGTCTGGCATTTAGGGAATTTAGAAGCTGTCATTCTCTACCTCACAAGAGGAAAATGAACAAATGTGAAATGAACAACTCTTCTTAGATCCATGACAGCACTGAAGTCATAGTGCAAGCCAGAGTCTACAAATTTGGGACAAAGAAAAGAAAGAAGGCATATTTTGAAATATGCCCCAAATATTCTGTTCTTTTTATTAACTAATTTATTTATTTATTTATTTATTATTTTTTAATTGCAGTAACATTGGAATATACCATTATATAGCTTTCAGATGTACATCGTAATATATTTCAAATTCTGTGTACATTAGGTCATGTTCACCACCCAAAAACTAATTATAGTCCATCCCCTCACATGTGTGCCTAATCACCCCTTTTGCCCTCCCCCACTTCCCCTACGGCAACCACCAGTCCAATCTCCATTGCTATGCGTTTGTTGATCTCACTCATAAGTAGAAGATAAAAACAACACCAAATACTCTGTTCTCAACAAGGCCTGTACTCAAAAAAATCTATTTCCCTGAGGTCTAATGCAAAGACAAAAAAGAACAAGAGACAGAAACCAATATCCACGAACCCGTTAGGACAACCTTTTTAAACAGAGGTTTAAAATACACATTATGGAAATACCTAAAGGAAAACAGAGACATAAAGAAACAGAAAGAATAAGTAATAACCACCAATTTCCTAAAATTAATCATAGATGGCAAAGTCTAGATCCAGAAAGTTCAGAGAACTCTAAGTATAAAGACACCAAAAATGCACCCCAAGTATATCATATCCACAACAGACAAAAATCAAAACAAAGAGAACATATTGAAAGAAACCAGAGGGGAAAACACACCTTAGGCATAGAAAAACAAAGATTTGAGTTAAACTGGACGTCTTTTCAGAAACGATGCAACGAAAAACAGAGTGGAGGGAAATATTTCATGTTTTGAAATTTAAAAAAATGCTCTCCTAGACTTCTGTGTTAAGCATAATTATCCTTCAAAAATAAATGAGAAATAAGGACTTTCTGAAACAAACTTTGAAGGAATATGTCATTAATACACCCACTTTGAATAAAACATGGTAAAATTCAGAAAGAATGTAAATAATGAAGGGGAATATTAGAAATGGAATAAGTGCAAATATCTTTTCTCCTTATCATAATTAATATAACAGATTACAATTTGTTTAAAATAATATTAGCAACAATGTATTTGTAATGAGAAGCCTCTGGACAAGTGAAATAAATGACAACAATGTGACAAGGGACAGGGAGGGGGAAATTGGAAATAGTGTGTTAAGGAACACCTGCACAAGAGTGAAGTGGTATAGTGTTACTTGACAGTGGCTTAGTTCTAAATGTGTACTGAAAACTCAAGGGCAACCACTAAAAGAGGGTTATAAAAAATGTGTAATTGATTTGCTAAGAGAGGAGGAAAAAGTCAGATAAAATGCTCAGTTAAACCCACAGAAGGTAGAAAAATGCGGAAGACAAAAAGAAACAAACAACGAGGGTAAAAATGGAAAACAGTAAAAAAGTTTGGTAAATATTAATCCGACTGTATCAATAACTACTTTAATCATCCATGGTCTCAATATAACTGAGAGATACAGTAATCTCAGATTTTTAAAATCACATTTAATTATATATGTATAAGAAAGCCACTTTAAATATAAAGCCACAGATAGATAAAAGGTGAAGGGATGAGAAAAACATACCATGCCAACACTAATCAAAGAAAGCTGCCATAGCTATATGAATTATCGACCATGCAGATTTCAAACCAAGGAAAACCCAGAGATAAAGACGGCCATTACATAATGATAAAGGGGCCCATTCTCCAAAAAGGCATAGCCATCCTTCATTTGTACGTGCATAACATGCATAAAATCCATATGGCAAGAGCTGATAGAATGCAAGGAGAAATAAGTGAATCCATTACTATAGTTGTAGACTTCAACATCTCCTTATTGTGAACTATAAATCTTGGCAGGCAAAAAATCAGGAAGGACAGAGTTGAACTGAACAGCACCATACAACCACTGGATTTCACTGTAATCTATGGAATGCTGCAGGCAACAACAGCAGAATACACATTCTTCTCAAGTTCACAAGGAACATTCAGCAAGACAATACATACTCTGGGACATAAAACACTCCTTAAGAAATTCAAAAGAACAGAAATCATACAAAATATGCTACTAGACCACACAGGTATTAATCTAGAAATCAATAATAGCAAGATAGTTGGAAAAGGCCCAAATATGTGGAGATTCAAAAATAGACTTCCATGGCATCAAAGAATAAGTCTCAAAGGAAATTAAAAGTTATTTTGAACTCAGTGAAAGCAAAATCGCTCAAAGAATGAAGGATTCAGCAAAAGCGGTACTTACAGGGAAATTTATGCCATTGAACAAATACTCTGGAAAAAAGAAAGATCTATAATCAACAAAGTAAGCATCTTCCTTAGGGAAAAAAAAGAAGAGCAAATTAAACCCAAAGTACGCACAATAAATGAAATTTAAAAAATTAGAAAAGAAATTAATGTAATTTTGATAAATTAAAGGAGAAATTTTTTTAAAAAGCTGATTCTTTGAAAAGACTATTAAAATTGATAAACTTCTAGGTCAGATAACTAAGAAAAAAGGAAATACAAAAATTACTAATATCAGAAATGAAAGGAGGGAAAATAAAAACAGAAAAGGATCTGATAAATCCAACATTCATTTATGATAATAAACGAGTAATAGAGGGGAACTTCCACTTTTCAAGAAAGAACATCTTCGCAAATCCTGTGGCTAAATTCATAAGGTTTGTTCCATATGATGTTTGCCTCTGTGAAACATCTGAAAGGATTCACAACAGAAATAACTCCTGGAATTAATAAGAAAGTATAGCAAGGTTGAAGGGTATAGAAGTCAATTACTTTCCTCTAGACCCACCCAAATAGACTCAGCTGATCTTTGACAAAGGAAGAAAGGTAACTCAAATGAAAAAAAAGTCTTTTAAACAAACAGTATTGTAAATAATGGATATCCACATACAAACACACACACACACGCAAAATGAATGTAGACACAGGCCTTACATATTTCACAAAAATGAACTGAAAACACGTCATAGATCTAATGTGAAATGCAAAAGGAATAGATTCCTACAAGATAAAATAAGAAAAACTCTAGATGACCTCGGTTTTGTGATGAATTTTTAGATACAACCGCAGAGCAAGATCCGGCAAAGAAAGAAATGATAATTTCCACTACATTCAAATGAAAAACTGCTCTGAGAAAGAGTGTTAAGAGCATGAAACGACAAGTCACAGAGTAAGAGAAAACTTTTGCAAAACATGTGTCTGATAAATGACCGGTATCCAAAATATCCAAAAAACTCTTAAGACTCAACAGTAAGAAGAAAACCCAATTAAAAACGGGCAAAAGATCTGAACAAACAGTTCACCAAAGAAGATGGATAACTGGGAATGAGGCAATATGAAAACATGCTCCATATCAAATGTCATTGGAAATTTGCAAATAAAACAATAATGAGGTATCATTAAACACTTATTAAATGGGTAAATCTCAAAACACACAGAACACCAAATGTTGGTGAAGATGTGAAGCTGCAGGTAGTTCTCATTCAGTGCTGGTGGAAATGGAATTTGATAGCACTGCAATGGAAGAGAAGGACTGACTTTTCAAAACAAAATATAGTCTTACTATGTACACTAAGATCCAGCAATCACATTCCTCGGTATTTTTCCAATTGAGTTAAAACCTTATGTTCAAAGAAAACCTGTACATGAACACTTGTTGGCACTTTATTCATAATTGGCAAGAGGTAGAGTTAAACAAGATGTCCTTCAAGATGCAAATAGGGGGGCCAGCCCTATGGCATAGTGGTGGGATTTGGCATGCTCCGCTTCAGCAGCATATGTTTGT